TGTGGCCGAACAGTTACTATACCGACTACCACGCAGAAGCCCCAGGTTCGATTCCCGGGCCAGGAGAAATATTTGTATTGCCTACATTTATTTCTCACGTGAGTTTGGGTGTAATTTGTGGTTGTCTATGTGTGTGTCCATGGCACCCGCGACACAGGGTTTCCCTAGTGCGGAGCTATGTTAAGTGTGTTATATATATTATCTACGAGCTGCGAATTTATCAAAAGATTGAGCATTTGAATATATTATGGATTTTATTACATTTTGAACATTCGACTATTCAATTACAAATATCATGGACACATTGATAGTTTCAAATTCGTTTCTTTTTTATATCAAATTGTATATAGAACGGCGTTCCTTCCTACTTTTCGATCGGCATGACAAAAATAATGGTGTCTATTTTTCACATTTGGTCGGTTCGGTTCCCAGGTGAGACAGGCAATTTTATAATTTACTTTAAAAAAAATACAGTCTCCATGAAGCAAAATATCCTACCTAAAGAATTTAATGTGTTTTTCCTCCGTGTCGCATAACGCGCATAAAATGGGTATTTCTTTTCTTTTCATTAATTTATAAAGGATTATGTAGTTATAAACAGGCCCGCAATACAAATGTGTTTACAAAGTTCGGGGGCTAGTTGAAGCTGTTAAGTGAGTTCTACCGCACAGTGACCGCTGAGACTGTCCCCTATACACAAATAATATCTTTTTTTTTATTATATATAACTTGAAAGATGCACCATCAACTTCAAAATTTTTTTCAAATTTTGCACTAACTCGCTACAGGTGTACACAGCACTAATTAACAAAAAATTATGTAATTAATGTGTGTGGATCTTTAAATAGTATAAACAGTACGGATATCCACTTGCGAGCATATGTACAAATACTGATGAGAATAGAGGAATAAAAATAAAATGTACTGAATAATAAATAGGATGTAAGTTAAAAAGATAAAAGTTTCCAATAATTTAAAATGGCAACAGTTTGAAATGGTAAACATACCGTTCGTTTAAAATACAGAGAAAAAGAGTTTCTTACAAAGGATGGTAATTTTACGAAGGAGCTTCGCTATAAAATCGTCGAAGAATAATCCACACTTTGTTAAGCTTTTTATGTCGTGTTCAACATTTTGATGACACATCTTTTGGAAAATACTTAAAAATTTATTTAGCGTCCTTGAATTGTAAAACAAACTGTACGACTCTCTCGATCACTGCAGTTTGTGTTGTTTATTACATGTAATAAAAAAATCATTGACTACCGCGTGTCCTAGAGACACACGGTGTCCCTAACAGTTTTGGAATCATGGGTAACTCTAGTGCTTGTGTTGTGTTGTGTCCTATGTTTAACCATTATTTTAAAAGCCATCGTAAAAAAATATGAAAATTTATAAAAAATTACCAAAACTCTCTGTGTCTGCAGAAGGCGTGACGGGTTAAAACACCTATATAATTATTAAATGACTGGATAGTTCATGAAAATAACAATTATCATTTTCTCACGCTTTTACTAAACGACAATCGCCAGTTACAAGTTCTTTACACAAAAATATCATATCGTGGTAAGAAATCACTAACAACTTTGTCCATTAAATGTAAACCAGATTAGGATTAAAGGTTCATTTTTTACAAACCTACACTTTACGTACTAAGAAAAGTCATTCGCCTTTTTCGAACAAGAAATATGATAGGTACATCCAATAAGAGTAAAAGGTATGGATAACGATGACAAAATATGTAAATAAGATACTTGCCGCAGTGCAGAGTTACAAAATTATTATTTAAAGAAGACGTAAAACACACTTTGTATCATGTATTGTCGTGAAGCAGAGGAAGTTTGAAAAGGCACGTCAGTCCCGAGTCTGTGTGTACAGCGAACCAATGAAAACTAGACTTGTTCGACGAATCTCTGAGCGCAGTGAAGTTGTGAGTGCAGGAAACATTCAATGATTCCGACCGCAGCTTGCACTTTGCAACCTCGAAAATATTTTGTAGCATCCTTTTCGAGTCTACAGAGCAAGTTTTGTGATTTGCTCTAACATGTTTCAGGGGAAATACTTTTGCTTCGCTTGGGATGCATGAATGGATTTTCTAGATATTGTTATTGGTTGTTTGTGATGTTTTTAAGGAGACAAAACAGAAACATTAATTCAATCGGACATTTTTTTATGGAGAATTAAATTGAGAAATACACACGGAACAATGTACGTTACATTTTCTTGTAACAAGTCGGATTTCATCACATCAAACAGAATCGGTATTGTTTGTGAATATGTGAAAGTACACAGTAAATATAAAGAAAAACGCCCAGAATTCCATGGAAAAATTTGTAATACTTTATCCTACTTTGAATGCCCACCTAGAAGTCATGTCACGGCTATGCGACAGCGAAGGAAAGTACTTTAAATATTGTAGATAGGGCATTTTGCTTCATGGAGACATTTATATTTTTTATTTATTTAATCATTTATTACACAGGAAAACACAAATCACATTAAGTAAAAAAAGGAAATACAAACAAAAGGTTCTGCTTATTTCTAAAATAGACTTCTTCCTGACTTTTAGTGAAGTTTTCGACCTCTGTTTAATAATTATAGTTTCTTAAATTAAAGGAACACCGTTTAATTACATTTTTTTTATTGATGAAAATAGATTATGTAGCAGTAGAGTTCCTCGTGAAGGAGTTTGTCCAAGGAAGTACTGCCACTACCTATTTCTGCCGCCAAGCAGTAATGTGAGCATTACTACGTACCGGTTTTGAAAGGTAAGGGTGCTGGTGAAATTTCAAGCAAATGAGACTTGTCAACTTAAGTCTCAGGGGACGGGCTCTGAGTGGCACTGCAACTGATATGGACAGTCATGAAGCCTTACCATCAAGTGCACGACTTGTTCGTCCTGTCACTTGATATAATAATAATCTCAGTACAGAGTATTAAAAAAACCGACCTCAAAAATACGTGGAATGGCGTCTATTTGCTAAGTTTTATTGAAATATCCTTAAATTCGCCACTATACAGGACTTAACACTGGAGATAATAAAAATCGGTTCTCACTACTCAAAGAGAGAAAAACTTCTTGAATTGGAGAAATAGCAAAATCAACCATTAAAATAATTGCTCCTTAAGAAAATTTAGGCGACATTTATAAAAATGAATCTTCATGCGTGAACAGCCACCCTTAGAGGTGGATGATTTCCTTCAAAATGAAATGGGACTAGTATGGAAGTGCCTTTCCAACAAAAAGAGAATCATGAAAATCGGTTCACAAATACCGGAGTTATCGCGTAACATACATACAAAAAAACTCTCCTCCTTTTTTGAAGTCGGTTAAAAAAATAGAGATACGTATTATAATATATCATAATATACCTACACATGTATGTATTACTTTCATAATATCCAATTCGGTTTAACAATTTTCACAAGCTTAAAATGCAAAGGAAAACATCGTGAAGAAACGTATAAATGTCAGACGAGGTTTAAAAATCCCTGCAAAAATATGTGATATCTCCATCCCGCATTGAGCCTATGTGGTTTATGACGTAAATCTCCTTACTAAAGTAACGTAACGTAGTAGCAGTAGAGTTCCACGTACAATATATATTAACTGCCTCCGTGGCCGAACGGTTACTATGCCACCCAGAGGTCCCAGGGGGCCAATCGCGCTAATTGTCAAAGGTTTAACCAAAACCTCCAACCTCGCCAATCTGACACGTTGTGTACATTTCGTATCGCGCTAACTGTCAAAACAAAAACCTAAGCCAAAACTTAGACGTGTGACACGTAACGCACATTTGGTATCGCGCTAATTGTCAAACGTAAAACCAAAACCTAAAATGTTGCAAATTGGTATCGCGCTAAATATTTTGACGTTTTAACCTCACATGTAACCTTGGGGGAATAGATTAACCTTTGCAAGGTCAAGGTTTGTGTGGCAGTTAATGGAGAGTAACTTTTCACTACGTTTATCGTATATAAAAGATGTTCCACGGTTACTTAAATGTTTTGGAAAGTGTTTATGAGGTGGATGTGGCCTAAGAACGGGCTTTAAATAAAAGAAAAGCATAGAAAGGCGATCACATTTAACATGTCTGAGGAGAAATTCCGCAAACGATATACCGTTTGTCCACGGAATTCATTTCAGGATTGGTGGAAGAACTATGCCTACATATTCTCGTTAAAGGACGGTCTGTTGCATTGGATGTGGAGACAAAGGTAAGGGTTAAGTGGAATCCGAAAGTTCTCACTTTTGCATAATAACCAAAATTTCTATACTGAGTAAATCATTATTAATTTTGTTACAGATTTTAATAGCTCGTATAGTTTTTAACAACTGGGGCGTACTAGACCCCCATTGGCAAGTGCTTATCACCCTTTCCCAAGCCAGTGTCAGAGAGGCACAAGCAGTAGCTGCTTCAAATAAACCAGTTATTATGAATAAATATGCAGCTTTCCTAAAAGGCATGCCGAAAGAGATGATATTAAAAGGCGGTGAGAAAATAAGCTTTACAATGTACATCATATTTATTAGTTCTTGTCTTATTTCCTGTTGTTATTATCAAATTAAAATTACAGATATAGGTAAAATATGTATAGTTGTATAAAAATATATTACAAGGTTACAATTTATCTCTTTTAACACTTGACTTTATACAACATATCGTCCCCTTACAGTGAAGCCTCACATATGCATTTTCAGTTTGTTTTTACTGATTTTGGTTGAATAAAAATTAATAATGTAATAATATAGTATCTAAAAGAGGTATAATTTAAGTAATTAAAATGCTAACTACACACATTATTGCATTTACTATACTTCACACCATATTTTTATCTTCATCCTAAAAAATTACATAGAAATATGAGGTATTCATTCTAAGATGACGATGTATACCTATTGTAATTGTTTATTATCTTAATATCTAAATTGATGTATACTTTTAAGAGGTTGAAATAAAAAAAAGAGTGTATTTTTAGTTTATTTATTGCCTCAATCTACCCCAAATGATCCTTCATTTCCAGAGCGAGCTTGCTTTTGATTCTTCAAAGAAGTCTGAAACAAAAATATGTATATAGGAAGATTGGAGACCTAAATTTAAGACTGTGCCATACCTCTCAGGAGAGTAGTGACAGATAAAGTAGGATGGGTATTTATATACATACAGTATGCAGCCAACATAAACGCCAGAATGTTTAGGGGCCTTTTCAAAATACATTTAAAAAAATGTTTATATCACTGTGGAAATATAAAGGGGACAAAAGTCTACAGATTAGACCTTCGTTCCTTACGCTCTTTCAGATTTCCACAATTGAACATATCATCAGCAGGAATTAAGAAAACATGTTGAAAACAAACCTGTCATTCTTGTTAAATATTCTATCAAAAAGGTTAACTGCAGGCACCAACTCGGTAATTGCTTTGCAAATAGCAGCTACGGATTGGGCATGCAGATCATCTGTTTTGACAGAAATAATAGCTGCCTCAGCCTGCACCCTGCCAGCATTCACTTGCTGCAAGAATGCTTCGCATGCTCGCAGCTTCTCAATGCATAAGAATTCTACCCGGCTCTGCTCCAACGCTCATCAGCTCGCTGCCAACGAAATAATAGATGTGATGTAATAAAGAGTGGGAAAGAATTTGCTCAAATTGAAAGTTACTTTGTTTTTTAATTAATAATAAAGAGTGAGAAAGTTACTTTGTTATGGAATTGTATGTTTGAAGTTACTTAGTGCTAGAGTTGGTGTCCTTTAGGAAGGTTGGTAGGTCCTCTGCCGCAGTCGATGTGGCGTAGATTCTCACCCTGCTTTTCATATCATTCCATATCTGAATAACAAATAATAACATTGCATATTATAGTGATATGAGTTCTGGTACAATAAGGGTGAGTGATCCATTCACTGTATCCTATTACCTCTCATTATGACTCACCTTTTGGGATCTATTGCGGGGCCACAAAATAGCCACACACTCGCACCAAAGGCGTGCTGATAACACGCGCGAACAACGCCGAGCGAAGTCATTCTCAAGCTAAATCTCTGTGCGATTCGAACTCCAGCAAAGATGGAGCTGGCTTACAGTGGTCGCTCGCCGTCCGACCGCATCCACATTGGCTGAAATACGAGCATCATTATTAATTCTACATTGCTAACATTTCGAAATTAATAGTAGTTAGCGTACCTATTTGACTGTATAAAAAGATACTATTTTATTAAATAGAATATTAAAACAGGAAAACAATGTGTAGGTACTTACCTCTGTGTGTTTTATCTACAACAACAACACACTAAATTCAATTAATTTGGTTCAAATGACAACTCATATGTTTGTTTACAATAGAATTTAATGACATTTGTTTTACACACTTTTTTAAATCGCTCTTTTATAGACTTGAATTCGTAGATATTGACATTTCAGTGCGTTTTACGGTAAAATTTAGTCGGTTTTAGGAAGTCAAGGCACGTCTCTTAAAATTTAATACGAGGTTATAATTTGAGGTTTAACTGCGGTTTAGGTTCATTAAAACTGATAGCGCGATTGCATTTTGTGCGTCGGTAGAACCATTAATTAACCAAAACCATAACCTCAAATGTTGTACGGTTAAACCTTGCGAAAATAGCGCGATTGGCCCCCAGATTAGATTCCCGGGCCGAGAAAAATATTTGTATGGCCTACATTTATTTCTCTCGTGAGTTTGGGTGTACTTTGTGGTTGTCCATGTGTCCATGGCACTTTACCGAGTGCGGGGTTACGTTACGTATGTGCGTTATTACTTAAAAAAAAATAGCATTTTTCTTTCAGGCAAACTTATAAAACCATTTTTTTGTTTATGCCTTATATATATATATATATATATGTAGATATATATATATATGTAGATATATATATATATATATATATACACAACTTACATAATATATGTTATATGGGTACGTAAAGAAATAACAGGAATAGGTAAAAAATTATTCAACAGTCGATACAAAAACACTATACAATTTTCCTGGTTTCCATTTATGACAATCTGTATTATTCACATTTGTTATGGCCGTACCCACGCTCTATTCCTTCTTATAACATAATATTTATCAATTAAAAAGAAACAATCTCTATGTCTTCCTTCTACCTATTAAGAATAATAGGCAAATTTTAACTGCAATATTACCTGACGATGTGATCAAAGATGGCGAATACTTGCCTCGAAATTTCCTAACATTATTATGTAGCAGATTTAACCTATAGAATCCCTAATTAGTTTAGTTAACTATGGAATTGTATTTTACCCGCTAACATTGGCCTGTTCAGAATCTATTGTAGGCTTGGGGCAATCAATGGACGGCCTGCAAGGGAGTTTGTGAAGTTAGATAATTAATTACTCCTTCATAATAGCCATCCTGCCATAGTATACCCTAGAGCGTACCCAAACACGAGTCCACAATACCCTATTGAATCCCAGTAATACGTTTTTGAATTACAGCTCGAATGGATTTACTAAGCACGGGAGTTATTAGGGTTTACGTTAGGTGTTATGTTTATGTGTGGTAGAACTAGTAGGCTATGGCATCGTATGTTCTTATTAGGAACACAAGTGCTATGTAACTTGAATTTCATAGTTATTATCCAGCCAGATATTCTCTTAAACCATTTATTAAGTTTGCAATTTATTCTACCATGACTGCAAAAATGTATTGACATTTCAAGCGAATATGAATTAATATCCCTCATTAAAAATGCGTTAGTTGTAGAATGCTCTAATTCCTGTCACTGCATTACATTGACTACAGGGAGAGTCCAAATACTTTCGTACAAGAGTATGCGAGTACACGTGCTAATAAAACAGCATACTCGGCTTGACACACGCCACGGACCTTAGAACGGGTCACGTTATACGGTCCGGACTATTGGCGGAACGCACCCCTACATGCGCACACTGACGGCAATTATGCCACACGGTATCCTCAGGCAAGCCGAATCCTACCGTCTACTGCTATTTGCAGTGTCCCCTCGCCCTACACACCCACAGTTGCACACAATGTCGCCTGAAGTCTGCCCTTAGGCTGATGGCTCAGTCCCTAAGCTTATCGCAGCTTTATTTTTGTAGCTATGACCATAATCATTGAAATTCTAACTACAGCCACATACTAATAAAGATTTATTATACATCACATAAAAATCCCAAGCGATTTTGTGTTGTCACCTCAGTGCGCGCAGGGCTTTATGGTAAATGGCGTAGGATTGCATTTAAAACTTTGTTTTCAAAACTGAAGTATTATCTGTAAATAGGACAGCGCAAACATAATAACTAAAGGGCAATATACATAACGATACATATTTACTAATAATAAGAAACTATTAAAGAAAGTAGGTTCAGTAATAAGAAAGTTAGCAATACTAGCAATCACCAGTACAAATGTCTTTGTTCCGAAGTCAATCTTTATGCAACACTCGCGAAGATCATCAATAATCAGTAGAAATTTTTTACATAAGTTTTTATGATACCAAGGACCAATAAATCAAGCGCCTGGTGGTAAGGAATACGTCCATCCTGTTGCAGCGCCACTAAAAGCTTTAAATCACAAAGATCTGCCACTGCGCCCATCACCCTGAGACATAAGTTGACAAGTTCCATTATGCCTGTATTTTCACTAGCACCCTTACCCTTTAAAACCGGAACGCAGCAATGCTCGCATTTTGATTGGCGGCAGAAAAAGTGAATGTGGCAGTCCTTCCCTGGACGAAGTCTTTCACAAGGAGCTATACTGCTTCTAAAATATATAATACAAGGTGTATCTTTAGAGATGATTATGCTCATGAAGAAAAAGTTGATTCATTATTCAAAAGGGCACAAGGTCATTCAGACATAATTTATAGGAGGCTCCAAATTTTTTGTCCACGATATTTAATTAAATTTTTGCTAAAGTTATTTGTTCTCATAAGCACTTCCCTTTAGGTGCTAGGTGTATTGTGTAGTTAAAAATCTTATTACTAACCTGACACTGTTTTGATAGCGCGAACCAAACCAGGCAACGGATTACAAAAGTTATCAATGGCGTTAACAAAATTCTAATTAATTTGGCGACGGAAAGTGCTTGGTAAAAAATAAAGAAAAGCAATTCAATTTTGTACACAAAAAAAAGGTAGAAAAGTGCCAATTAAAGATATCTAAAAAGAAGACTGTAATGTTCATTATTATATTTATTATATGTTATATATCACAGCCAAGATTGCCAAGATTGCCAAGATTTCAAAAAAAATAGTTTCGAACGTACTAAAAATTAAACAATGTTATTGTATCCATTTTTCAAAATTTTGACTATGTAAATAGTTTGTTAAATAATTAATATGTAATAATATGTATATATCGTTTTTCAATAAAACATACGGAACATTAAGAATGAAAATAAGGTGAATATATTTGAAACAGAGTACCTATTATACAAAATCAAAGTCTAATCGATCAATCAGCGTGAAATCTGGCGGAAAGTTATTGAGAAGAGGGAACTTCAATAACTTTGTTGCAGGTCCGGTAACAGAATTTTTAAGTGCCCCTCTAAGAAGAAGGTATGATAAAAAATAACATAAACACATATTTGTTACCAACTTCCTGTCGTAGTAATTTTAGTATTCAAAACCTAATAAAATTAAAAAAATAACTTAATACAACATGTTTGTATAGTATAAATAAATAATAATGTGCCAGACAACCACACCAATTGTCTGATATCAAAATGGTGAATTCCCTATACTATGAACATCAGAGCAACGGAATTCACTCTGGAGTCACATGCCAGAGCATCCAAACTAGACCCAATTAAGAAAGTTCATTTTCCAAATTGGTACTACCGGGAATCAAACCCGAAACCTCCTAATCCAGTGCTCACAGTGCAAACCGTCGGGTCACCTTGGAACCTCGCCTTGGAACTTACACTTTCTAAAATTGAATAATTACATATTTAATTTTCTGTCTCAGAGTTTTCTTAAAATATATTATATTATGTACTGTTTATACGAAAACGTGTCACATGAAAAATATTTTTCACTTACTTGTAGGTACAGCGGCATAAAGTCCAGACATACATGTACTGTACAAATTATGCCCTCTGGCGCCGGGCCTGTTTACTGTGGAAAAAACTCGCCCCGCCGGTTTTCGTACTGGCATACACAAGAACCTTATCCATTTTAATTAAATATGCAAATATACCCTGGCTGTTTGAGATGTTTTCGAACTTATGTGCGAACATTAGAATATATTATTATATATTAATTTTCACATGTTTCATGGTGAAGAGAATTGTGAGACGTGTTGAAGAAGGTTCAGAATTCGTCGCAGATATGTAGTGTTTTTAACTTTTCGGTCAGTCTCTACCAAGCTCAGCACTCGGTTTTTCCCTAACAATCACAAAATTTATCTAAAAGAAACCTGTGCTTCGTGTCATAACGACGTAATATAAAATTTAATTATGTAAGTGTTGTGAAACCTAAATGCTGGCATTTATTTTAGTTAGTAAAACAAGATTTAGGATTGAGTTTAACTGAAACTCAAAGCTTTGTGATTTGTCAAAATCTACCGATGCGATGATATAGCTATAATTGTGAGTTACCGCTATTACGCAGCCAAAACTCATCTACACATTTTGAAGATTATAATAATTCGATTAGGATTTTTAAATCTTTCATCCGTTAAAATCCGCTAAATGCAGAAACAGTAACTTACAGTTTCAAAGTAAATCTGTAAAAAACCACAATTTTTTTTTTTTTCAGATTTTTCTTGTTAAATGCCATTCAACTCATAAAATGTAATAATATAACTCATTTCTTTTGGCAAAAACTTCTAAACGCTTTATTGTATTCTTAAGAACTTTCTGGATCTTCGGCGGTAAAAATATTTATTGTACTCTAATTTGTTAAGAGAAACGATTGTCGATTCATCATCTCAGCCATTAACACCCACTGCTGAGTTTAGGCCTCCTCTTTTGCACGCCAGTTCAATCGGTCCTGTGCGTATCTCATCCACAATCTTCCGGCCACCCCACAACATCGTCCGCCCATCTAGCAGGTGGTCTAGCAGGTGGTGGTGGACGCCT